TTATTCGTCGTCGACTAGCTATACTAGATTCCATTATAGTAGGTACATGCGCCAGCCAGCTATTTTCTAGATGAAGTCTAGTTTCGGGTTATGTTTTTCGAGCTATAGTATACCGAGGATCATATTAAAGGGACTATCTACTATGATAAAGGTTAAGTAGTAGGGTTTCCACTTCCCCCCGCTATCCTAGATACTATATTTAATAGTATAGGTACCCTACAATTTAATAGGACTATCGATACTATAGAAGGTAGTACCTATTAGTGCTTAAATATCGACGTTAAGCTCTCGTGCTTGTTAAGTCGATATAATATTAGTAGCTAAACCGCTATCGAGTATTACGGTCTAATGTTATCTACGAGGGACCTCGATAGGCCTAGCCTATAGTTCGATATACTAGTTAGCTAGTTATCCCTCTATTTTAGTTACGCCTATAAGTCGCGAGGGTTCCTTATAGATAGTTAGTTTTTTATATCGTATACCGGGTAGTTAGGCGCGATATATTCTAGCTACTAGCACTTATAGTATATAACTAACTTAGTATCTATATTAGTATTTAGTAGTTTCCCTAAGCGGCACTCGGGTACTATATAGCCTATCCTACTATAGGTGTAGTAGGTGACTTTAGGTCGTTTATACGAGTCGTTTCTCGCGTCTCGATATATTAACTAGTGGAAAGATCCGCGGTACGGGCCTTATCTTCTCGAGTTCGTGGAGTAGTAGCGTCTACGAGGTATTCCGCGCGATCTATTACTAAACCGGTCCTCTTTAGACGATTTCGTATCGGATTAGATTAATAGGGATAGTCATGCGCCTATACGACGTTAGTTATTTATTATACGCTAATATCGTTCTATAAGATTCGCGAGTACCTAAAGGTCGGTAGAGATAGATGTTATAAGGTCGATACGTTCCTTTATACTCGGGTTAAGGGACCTTTTAAAGTCGTCGTATTATCGAACTATATAATCTTCCTTAGCTTCTCTCTAAAGAGGTCGGAGGTATTCGAGGAGTTATAACGGGGATTATCTCTCTCGCTATTAAGTCTTAAAGATATGGCTCTAAGTCTATTCGCGTCGCTCGGCTCTATCGCCGAAGTATTAAAGAAGGAATTTGGTAAACGTGTCCTAGTTATACGCATCCTTAGAGTGTTTAATTCGATGTACTATCTAACGTTTAGATGGCGTTAGGTCTAGGTAGTTCTATACGAACCTAATCTTATTACTATCGTTTATAAATAGGTGGAAGAATCGGCTATACTAGTAAGCCTATTCATAAAAGCTCCTTCTAGTTTTACTATTAAAGTAAGATAGTTTCTTAGACTAAGGTAACTAGGATAGTAATAGACTTAGTTAGACTATTTCGGCTTAAGTTAGTCTATATTAGTATAGATTAGTTACTACTAGTACTAAAGCGCGTAGTGCGGCTTCGAGTCTAGCGGTTTATCCTTACACTTCGTCGAGTTCACGAAGTTACTACTCGAGCTAAGTCTAACGCTACCTCTCCGTATATAGCTTAGTATATACGTCGTCGTGAGGCGTGGTTAATATTAGTCGGTTCTAACGAATTAATTCGTTAACATTAATAGGGTCTAGTCTTATAGTAAGGATAGGTCTAGTATAGTATAAACTAGACCGCGATGGAGTATAATAGACTCCTTTCTTATTATCTAGGTAATCTTCTACGGTTATACGGAATACCGTACTAGTTATTAGTACGATAGCCTATAGGGTATACTTATTAGTAGAGGTAGTCATAGGGAGACTATTCTCTTCGTTTAGATTTGGAGAGAGTCTCTCGTATAAGATAGTGCCACGGGTATTATAGCGTGTAGTAGGAGCTATCTCTATAAGCTACCGTCGTACTATATAGAGAGGAATTAAAATGTAAAGAGTAAAGACGTGGGATAGTAGTCTAATAGTTTATAGAGAGACATAGGAATGTATTTATAGAGTAATCTTACTCTTATACGAGGTTGATTCCTAACGAGTAGGAATCGGTTTGTGCGGTCTACTTATATAGTAACCTCGCTTAACTTAGCTAACTTAACCTAGCTCTGGCCACTACGTGGCTATATGGATTAGAATGGTTTATATAGGTCCATTGTAGTTTCCGTCCTAACACTAATTAACGGGAGTAGTACTTCGCGATACTAAAATATATAAATATTCTCTTATAGTATCGGAATATTATTCTAAAGGTTCTATAAGTACTATAATAGTTAAGTAGGCGTCTAATTTGGTCGTTACACGACGCTTTTTAACTTAGATAAGGCCTTCCTTTTACGTTCTTCTATAGTACCGAGTATATTTAGTATAAATTTAGTTAGATTATCCTAGGTTATTATAAATAGTAGTTTAACTTCCTTCTATCTATCCTATTAGTCGCGGGATTATAAAGCTAAGTAGCGTTCTCCGAAGGAAATACATTATCCTTTAGTAGAGAAGAGTATAGAGTTATCGAGGAAGTACTTTTCATAGTCTCTCTTCTAGTCTTTCTACTCCTTTTAGTTCTTCCCTATAAAGCTAGTTAGATCTTTAGGTTTCGGCACGCCTAGTAAGCTAATACTATAGATTAGTAGCGTAGTTATAGGGATCGTAGTAGATTATTACGGTTCTTAAGTAGGCTACGTTATCTCTACTAAAACCGGTATAGGTTATCGCGGATTTACGTTTACTCGGTATAGTTCTTTAAGGTCCTTCTTAAGTTCCTACTATTTCGTAAGAAGTACTATACGTTTAGCCTATTCCTTTAGAACCTATATCTCTTAGGTCTAGTTGGTAATATACTATTATAGTTCCGCGATTATTTACTAAGATTCCTCGCGTAGCTTAGTAGGGTATTATCTAGCTTCGCCGTATTAGAGGTTACTTAGAGTATCTACTATCTCCTCGTTAGAGAGTTCCGTAATTCGGTTAGATATTATCTCCTCTCTATTAGGAACGGCTAGAAGTATCGCTAATTAATAAGGATCTCTACTACTTAATATAGTATAACTTAGACCTATAGTAGATCGTGCCGATCTTCGTAGTTCTAGTTATACTATACTAACTATAGTACTATTTTAGGGAGTAATTCGAATATAAGAATAGGGTTAATAGATAGTAGTATAGCTAGATAGAATAATAGGGTGTATTCCTATATAGAACGAATTACTACCAAGCCCCCTCGGTAGTAATCGAGAAGTATATACATAGAGATATACTAATCTAACTAGCACGTGACCGCTTACCGCCTATTATACTATCTCTTACTATATCGGCTCGGATGCGTGCGGATCCGGTCTAGCCTTTGGCTAATTCCTAACATATAGCGTCTTACTACGATTAAATAATATAGAAGGGAATACTAAAGTATATTATTCGAGACTTAAATATTATATTTCTTCTTCTATACGTTATAACTCTAGTTTTAATAGAGATTCTATAATAGGGATAAGAGGAGATTAACTATAGTCTTATTAATCTTCTAGAGTCTTCCTAATCTCTTTAACTATTTTCTAAGCTAGTAAGTAGATAGTAAACTATATAATTCGCGTTAAGAGAGCTAATTATAGACTATTAAATATAGGTACTCATATATACGTAAGAAGGCTCTAAGGGTGTTTTTTAAGAGTATACGCTTATCCTAGAGGGTGTACGCTTATTCTAGAGGGTATAAAAGCGTACCTTTTAAGGAGTATTAGCCTTATAATAATAAGGCTATCTTTCCTCTATAGTACTTAGCTATAGATAAGATTAAGAAATAGTATTATAGTTAAAAATAGAGGGAATATTAAGTATATTTTAATAGATAGTCTATATAGTACTAGCGCGCGGAGATACATTGGTAATTAGTAAGTTTTAGTACCCTCTATTATTATAATATTACTAAGGCCATATTCTATAGAGGCCCGGTATAACCCATGTCGGGTAGCTACGTAGTTATAGCCTATAGGCGCTACCCGCCCAATCCGTTTATCTATATTTATATAAGAAAGGTTAGTATAATATCTAAGTATATAAGTACATATATAAACTATATTATATAATAATGTTTTTATCTATAACTACTATACTATACCTCTATAATATCTAAAACTAGAATATATAATATAGAAAAGCTAGTATAACTAATATAGAATACTATAGATATTTAATATATATTTTATATTCTTCTAAAGTACCTTTAGATATAAGTATTAAGTTAGCTAGATCTAAGAATCTCTCTATATAATATACTCTAATTTTTATTTATTTTCTATATTTCTAGAGATAGTAGTATAGATAATATAAAGTAATAAAAAGAATATAGATATATTCTTAAGTAGAGTTATATAGAACTAATATCTAGTAGTACTTATAGCTATAGAGGTATAGTATAGTAGTAATAGATAAAATTTTTATCTATACTATACTTTCTATATATATTAACTACTAAGCTTTTTTCTATAACTATAGATAAATAAATCTATTATTTTCCTAGAATCTAAGTTACTAGTATTAGTATATATATTCTCTTCTCTATCTTTATATCTAGAGCTCTTTCTACTTTTATATCTATTCTAAGTATTTAAGAGCTTTAAAAAGTATATATAATAATTAACTAGATATATCTCTATCTCTCTATAGTTTTTCTCTTATTATAAAGTTCTTTTAAAGAGATAGAGAAGAATCTTAAAAAATATCTAGAAGAGAACTATATAAAAACTATATTAGGTTCTAGAAAAACTACCTTTATTCTCTTCTCTAAGAAACTAGATCCTTTTATTATAGAGTAAATTAGAGAGTATAGAGCTTAAAAATTATATAGAATTAATCGCTCTACTCTACTATATAAGTCTATATAGATATTATTATATATAGACTCTTATATAGAGGTAAAGAGGTAAAATAACCATCTAGTTAGGGTATATGAATATAGGCGTGAAATTAAAAAATGCTAAGCGACTCAGGTTCTAGGAAAACGACGTGAGTACGAGGACATTATCGTTTTTGCGTTACGTTCCATGAAATCACCTCATCGTGTGTGGTAGCTACCGCGCGAGGTCGGCATCCATGTCCGCTGTATCCTGCATGGGCGGCGACAATCCTACTCCTTCAGCTTTGGGGGCCTCGATAAATAAGTCCTGCGATCGCACGTAGCTACGCCTCACGGAATTGAGCGCTCGAGCTTATTCCTTGGGAGGATACTGTGCATGGGCCAACTGCAGCTCTGCATTCATGAGTAGTCGTCCTTGAGATCCAGCTACCGCGTTGAAGGCCAGTCTGAGTACTTAGTAGCCCTGTTGCCTTCTTTCCCTCTTTATACATGGAGATGTGTGAAGCTTTTGTTTAAAGCTACCAAAATCAAAGCTTACAGTGCATTCTTCAACTCTTCTAGCGATAGATTACTCGGCGTAGGATGAACAAATGGCTAACAAAGCTTATGACATAGACGCGGTGTCGATCCGCACCTGTAAGTGTACAGTAGCTGCTTCTTAATCTCTTAGGCTGATAATCGACGAATTCAGCCAACCACGGGTCATTTCAGAACGAACTAGATCAGTTATCACAACGATGCAGCCAGAGCCATGCGTATCCAAGGCCTGATCTTGAAGGTTTGAGCAGTCATCTTCGTAGCACCAACTTTGGACGACATGGAAGCGACGCTTATGTTCCTGGAGATGTAGAGGCAGACATTAGAGACAGTATTGCCGTTGTACATGACTTGGTCACCGGCAATCAAACTTGTTTCGACCCCACAACAAAAGGGCTAAACGAGTTCACAGCCCTTGAACAAGATGGAACATCCCTAGTTTTCATCCGTGGACACGCCTCGTCGCAATGGCTTCGCATAATCGCTGAGAAATATAAGATTCTGCCAGAACTTTTTCGCCGACACTTGCAAGGCAGAGCGTTCAACTTAGAGCCGCGAAATTTATATTCCTTCCCTTCATTACCTTCAACTTCTTCACGAATCATCCAATTAACCATCTCGACGATATGCTCCCGAGGCATAAACCCCTACTCTGCGGAGCCCGAAGATCTGGAAGCTGCCCGAGAAATTGAGGCAGAAGGACTTACCAGATACTTTCAAAAGCTTCGGAGTGAGGCGAAAGTCGCTGATTCAATTATCCGGAACTGCTACCTGGTGAGCGAGCAAGAATATGTGCTGGAACAGACCATATCGATCGAGATCAACCAATCTCATACGTCGTGGCGAGCAGTTGTATGGCTAGACAGTGGCAGAGATCTATCCAAGTGCACCAACGGGCCTTGGTGTCCGCGCCCTGGCTCGCGACCGTGGGAGACATATTTCTATCCTGTCATTGTGCATCAAGATGTTGAACATGCCACGAATGTTCGACACGAAAACTTCTCGGCTCCATCCATGACCACCCTTCCTCGGACGAACACTTTTCGGAAGCCTATAGCAAAACCGAATGAACCGAATGACGAATGGAGAGCTGCGCAGAATATTTGCATGATTCCAATACAATATGGATATGGGTTGGACCTTGAGGTGGCTCGCAAGGACGCACTGTATGCACTGAGCGAGCTGTTTCAGTTCGCCGCAGCATCAGAGTCCCAGTGCTTGAACCTACTGCAGAGCCGCATAGAGCATGAACTTTCCTTCATCGGCCAAGAGGGACTAGGAAGATATAATGCCAGTTCTCTACTCAATCTGAGGTACATCAAGACTGTTCTTACGTCACACATACAACGGTTAGCCCAAATATTACGGACACTGGAGAATCGCAAAAACATGAATTGGCCTTGTTCTCATTCTCCAGTCGCCGAAAAGTCTGGAACTAGGCTGTTCATTGACCTGAATTATCTTCTGTCATGCGCACAAAACCTCAGCCTAGAGTGTGAACGTGGTATTGGAACCCTGGCCGATAGCTCTATCTTGGAAGAATCACGACGGACGCTCACTCAAGCAGAACGTGTTCGGAAGCTGACTGTGCTGGCCACGATTTTCATCCCCTTGACATTCACATGTTCAATCTTCGGTATGAACTTTGTGGAGCTTGGTACCGGAGATCTTCACATATGGATTTATTTTGCAACGACTGTTCCTGTTATCGGCATGTCCATATTCATGTATAATTTTGACAACATCAAAAGACTTTTACGTTTCTAGATAGATAATTAGATATAGATCTAAGTCCTGGGTGCGACCTGTGGAGCGGAAGCATGTACATACAAAAAGCATGTATAGCAGCTGCACTTCGCAAGAGAATGATGTTAATTCTGATGATGAGACAGAATATCAGACGCCGACAGCAGTGAGACAAAGGTCTGCAATGCTGCCAATTGTCTCACCCAAGATCATCCCTGCACCACTAGCGATAGTGATATTGCCGCTCCTAGCATTCCAACGTGAATATGCCCAGCATGCTATGCCTCCTACGAGGCGAGAAAGTGTAAAAGAGGGGACATTTGCCATTCCTAATAACTGTAAGTGTCCATAGTGCGGATGAATGTAGCAGAAACAAGGCACTTACCTATTGCAAAGGCTGTACCGCTGGGCAGCACGTTATTCCACCACCTGTCCGAAAACCGTAGCTTCAGAAATGCACTAATGGCAAACCAACCGCCGAAGGCCAAAGCAAACATTGGAACACCTTCTGGAAGACCCTTTCCAAGAATGAGTCTTGCCGTACTGACACTGATATAGGAGCCTGGTATCTGAAACACTGGACCTGGAACCTCATATGACGAAGTGTACAGTCTGTAAGAGACTGTTGCGACGAACGTGCCAAAAATTGAGCCAGCTATGTGTCCATAGATCTGAGCATCAGGATTAGCGTCAAGGAAACTGCCGAGTTTGAAGTCGAATGCGATGTCACCAGATTGGCTTGCACACGCTGATGCAATTCCAGCGGTCACAAGATTGATGACAAGCGCGTTCGGATTCGCTCTTGATACCAGAGTCGCGAAGACTAGCTGGGATACTGCACTAAATTCAGCATTACATAGGACGGACAGCATTAGGGCCTTACCTAAACCGTTTTGGGGATTCCAGTCACACTCGGCGAGTGCACGTATACCTGCTACAGCCATAGGAAGTGCAAGGGCGATCCCCAACACCACGAGATGTGGCCCAATGATCGACCCGAAGACTAGACGCACTCCGATAACACAAATAATTATCGACAAGACAAACATGGCCACAAGTAGGAGTCGTGTTTGCCTCTTGAAACCGTAGAGCAATGTTGCTGGTAGGTGTTCTCTTTGCCGTCTCCTGGGTGCGTCCCTGGATGAATTGTGGAGGAGTGGAGTCTGGCTGTCATCCGGTCGGTCTTCGACAGGAGAGTCAAGTATATGTTTCCGTAACGATTCTAGAACGAACCACAGAAGGTTTACAGCAGCATCGGCCACAAGTGCGGATGTGCTGATCCAAATGATCCAAGATCTGCTCCCAGTCTCCCAGTCATCCACTGGTCCATGTACCCAGCCTTTACTCATGATCAGAGGAGATAGTATAGCCCAACCAACAATAGTACCACATAGCATGTGTAGAGGAATCACAGGTCCAGTGATGATGCCTCCGCCAATAAATCCTGCAGAGAGATCAAAGTCCCACAGCCAGTTTTGTGCTGCCCTCATGCCAAAAATGGGTATCGTACGCAACGAGGGGAGAAAGTGCGTGGCCGTTGTCTACATTTTTTAGTCTGGATCTATATTCCAAGGGCTGTACATACTAGGAGGAATGACCCTCCTCCAAAGCGTAGAAGTACAGAAACCACCTTCTGCCACTGACGATTTGGAGCTCCGGATACATTGCGATACTGATCTTGCCCTGTTGGATTGGCAATGACCTCATTGTCTCCGTGCTTGGTAGTCTCGTGCATGACAGTGAGCATTTGGGCGGTCGCCTTGGCTCCCGGCCATGGCGAACGATCTCTTTGGATGAGACCATTATGCAGAATTGCGGCAAAGAATATGCCGAAGAAGGCGAGACTGAAAGCCCATATCAATAGCTGACCAAATGAGAAATGATAAGGACCACCATCCTGAGGACCAATGACAAATTCTAGAGCGGGTATGATACCACCAAAGTGAGCAGCAACGGGCATGCATCCCGTTGCAGTGGCCGCACTTATTATCAAAACGTTCTCTCCTGGGCTTAGAGGTACGATAGAGAGCCTCTCCGATCCTTTAAAGAGAAGGTAGCCTAGAAGACCTGATATCATGGGCATCTGAAAATAAATCCCAGCTTGCAGCCCATAATATGTGTTGGATATGTTGACAAGAACTCCGACGAACAGACCTGCTACGAGGGCCCGAATCGAGAACTGAGTTCCTGAGCGTCTAAGTGTATGCAAAGAAGGTATAGGGCTAGGCAGTGATCGATATTCAACGCCTGCCTCCATCTTGAGCGTCCGTAGGCTTGGGCTTACGCCTTACTGTTTTGGCGCTCTGATTCTCCGACGACGATGAGAATGAAGGAAATGCAATACCTAATCGCTGTAACATGTATATGAGATCCAAGTAAAGAAGCGGTCTTTTAAGTAATGATAAGTCGACTAAAGGCAAGTTAGAATAATAATGTACCATGGTAGGATAGCATAGTTCAGCCGTAAGGTTACAACTCCGAAGTGCGTAGAACGGGTACAAACGGGTTTGACTTAGCGAAAATTAAAGAAAATAAAAAATTTCACGCACGGACTAGCGTTATATTACGTAATGCCTTTATCTATATAATTATTATAGTATTAAACCTTACCTCTTAATATAATATATATCTATTAAATTATACTATACTAGAGAAACTCTCTATTCTATAACTTAAATATACTTTAGTATATTCTTCTTTTATCTATATATATATAGAGAACTTCTCACACCCCAACGGACTAAACTAGTCAATTTAGGGTAAAACAGCGATTTACATATATTAAACGATAGAGTATACCGAGTATAATAACCTCCGACATACGTGCGTACGTATAGCGTATAATACACGACGATACCGATATATAGAGATACTATATATATACACTCGAAGACTCTTCAATAACACGAGTATAGACTATATCTAATAAACGCTAATATGCCGACCCCCTTTTATTAGTTAAGGGCTACCCTTAACTAATAACTATGGCGGCCTTAGGTATTGTAATACCCCGGTATACGCCGGATATACCCCTACTAGTATAGTAGAAACGGCTATATAGCGATATTAATATAGATAGCTAGACACCTATCTAAAATATAGGAACTAACTAAGGGTGTAAAGCGCTATAGATAACCTAGACTAAGGGGACCCCGAGAGGGGAGACCCTCCTAGATAAAATTAAATACTAGGTAATACGTATAGAGAGAGACGCCGAGAAGGGAAAGAAGACCCTTCTTTATATATTCCGGGACCTTATCTAGAATCTAAGAGAAATTACGGAGGAAGAAAGGAAGTCGCCACGAGAGGAACCTAGTAGTAGGCTTAACTAAATAGAAGCTAGCCTACGGAGAATCTAGGAAGAGCTATCCTAAGGTAAGCGCCCTAACACGTGGGCTTAGATTATAGTAACACCCGGAGCTACCGTACTAAGGACTACTAGGACTATAGATAGAGTATATAGTATACGTATTATAATCTAGGATAAGGATATACTAGCGTAGGTCTAATAGATATCCCTAAAGGAAATTATAAATAAGATTAATAAATAGAAAGGAATATAGTCGAGCGTCGTAGCTACTAAAGTTACGCTAGGTAGGGTAGTACTTACTACTATAATGAATACTACGTAGTAAAACATCTCGCGAGATCCGAACGTAATAGATAGTATCTTCTCTAGCGCGTCTATTAGGGTAGCTATATACCTAATTATAGTATACGTAGTACCCGTATAGGGATAGGCTATTAGAGCGGAGAATATTACGCGTATAGAATAATCTAACACGCGAAAATACCTAGGGATTAAGATTATAAAAGCGTGGTAGAAGAACCCATAGGCGATTAAGACGACGGCGAAAAAACACTCTACTATAATTATAGAGCTCCGAGACCCCGCCCTCGTATAATATATTATATAGAAGGGATTCCTAGTAGAAGGAGAGCTCCTTATAGCCGAGCCATAGAATAGGATATAGGTAATAATATAGTACTTTAACTATTAAGGGTATGGACACACTATATAAAGGTACTTATAGAAGACTAAGTACGGATAGTACCGTAGGGACCACGCTATCTAGGAGTGCCCTTATAAACCGCGAGGAGACGGACTAAGAAACAGGGATATAGTATAGTATTTAAACTACGACGGGAAATATCTATTATAGTCGTTAACATATATAAAACGTAAATAGGTTATAGAATACATTCGCACGATAAAAGCGAGAGGCGCGAGATAGTTATAGAATATAATATCTACTACGGGCCCTTCCTCTATAATACCCCTAACCTCCCCTCTAGAAGGTAGTTAGGCGGGATAGTAGACTATCCCGAAGACGATAGGACGACTAAAAGGTATAGTTAAAGCCGCTACCGCGCGAGGATAGTCGCGCCTCTAAGGAATAAGTATATAGGTATATACACTCCCTAGTATCTAATAAGGGACTAGAATATACTCCGAATTATATAGATAAACGTATAATATAAAAGAGAGAACTAGGCGACGCTCCTCGAAGAGACTAGGGCTATAATACTCGCCATCTAGAAACCCTATAAATACTACTAGACGAGTAAACTAACTATATACCCCGGATACTATACTATATACCCTCTAGGACTAGAAGGACGAGTCCTCTTCTATATTTATAGGTTAATACTACTCTTATTATGGTTGTATACTAAGCGAGATAACCTTAGGATAATACTACACCTATAAACAGATATAGGCCCCCTATATATATATAACATATATAACTAATAATATATACTTATACTAGACGAGATACTTAAGGGTACCACGGAACTAGGGTAACATATCCTCCTAGGAGACTTTAACCTCTACTACTAATAGTAGGGAGACCTAGCCGTAGTTAGGGAAGAACTTAGAGTAAGGGAACTACGCACCCGCTACCATAACTTCCTATACCTACTTACACCTATAGAATAAGTTATATAGAAAAAACATAAATAGGACGAAGACGGGTCTACGCTTAACCTTACCTTCGCTATAGAGTATATTAGTTACTAGATCTAATACTACCGCCTAGGCTAGGTATAGACGGATTCCGACTATAAATATATAGAAACTATAATAAACGTATATACCCCGAATAAATAACGGGGACGATAGATATAGAAGGATACTAACTAGGAAAAGTACCTAAAGAACCTAGAATCGGCGATCCTAGATCCCTCTATAGTCGATATATCTAACGACCTAGCCATAGACCAGGCCGTATAGATACTCCTATAAATATACTAGAAGGCGAGAAATAAACACGTACTATACTAAATATACCGGCCCCCGGAAGTAAAGGGGATTCCTCGAGTACGGGAAAGTAGATAAGACGCCCGAAGGCTATACATACGCGTATACTATATAAGAATACCCGAGTCGTAGGAAGAATAGAAGGAAGCGATATAATAACGCGATAAAGTCCTCCGTAACGAAAGGCGTAAATAGTAGTATATAATTACTAGTTAATAGACACGATACGTAATAGGGCTATGGCGTATAGCGAAATGGGCCAAGGGCGTAGACACTCCGATACCCCCGCCACTTATACCTTCCCTAATATATTAGGGGAGAATATACTCCATAAGCCTTAAGAAAACTAAGGCCCTACGAGAGGCCATGTTCCCTCTCCCGGAACTAGTAGACCTATTAGACGTTCACGGCGCCGAATATCTATACACGGTAGATATCCCTAAAGAAGTTACGGAGGAGAATATACTTAATATTATTAAGATACTCCTAAATAATAAAGTATCTAGACTAGATAGAATTCTAAATCGATGCCTAAAAAGTACTATAAAAGCGACCCTACCGCTTATTACTTATATATTCTAAGTATACGTCACGTAGGGGTACTACCCCTAGAGCTTCCGAGTCGCCTATACTATTATACTCCCGAAACTAGAAAAGAGCCCTAACTCCCTAAAGGGATAGAGACTAATCGCCCTTCTCTTCTACCTAGATAAGATACTAGAGACCATGATAGCGAAGAAGATAAGTACCGCGGTATAGAAATATAATCTCCTCCCTCCGAACTAGAAGGTAAAGATAGATAGCTCCCTAATAATAGCTATCTAATATATTATTAAAGTCGTCTAGGCCGTATAGAAATAGGGACGGGTAGTATCGCTCCTCTCTCTTAATATAGCCGGAGCGTTTAATAAGGTAAACTATATAAGACTTATTCATAACCTCCGGATAAGATGAATACTAGAATAGATTATACGCTTTATATAGTTATTCCTTATAGGAAGAATAACTTAGATATATATCCCTAGATACTAGAGCGAATATAAAGAGACGGTATATAGCATCCTATAAGGGAGTACTATCTCTCCGATCCTATTCCTCTTCGTTATAGTAGACCTTCTTTAAGAAATAAAGTATATAGAGGTAGTCGGATACGCTAATAATATATACCTCCTAGCCATCGATAATAATACCAACCGAATATATAGACGACTAGAATAAGACTACGAGAGGTGCCTCTAGTAGGTAAAACGCCACGGAGTAAAGTTCGCCCTAGAGAAATACTAACTTATGTACTTTATTAATCGTTAAGGGAAATAGGTAACTAGGGAAGGCGAATAACGCCCCCGAATCGACGCATTTAATAAACTACTAGTATAAAGCATGCGCGCGCTCGGAGTTATACTAGATAGCAAGCTTAAATAGGGACTATAAGTAGTATACGCCGTCTCTAGGGCCCTCCGGGTAGAAGCCGCTATACAACGGATTATAGCCTCTATATAGAGAACCACCCGGGATAAGGCACGCTAGCTATATATATCTATAGTACGGCCCGCCTTTACGTACGGACACGAGTACTAGTATACAGCCCTTATATAGACTAGGCGAATAAAGCTTAAATCTATATAGAACCGTATACTCCGTCTTATATTAGGCGTATATAAAGCTACTAATACGGTACTACTACGACGCGAGATAGACGTTATAAGTATATATAACTTCTACTAGATATAGAGGGTAGTATACTTTACTATATAATAAGTATAGGAACGCATAGGAAACGTAGAATATACTTTCGCCGCGCTACGTATACGAATTAGTATATATTACCGCGTACTTCTATATATAGGCCGGAATTAAATACGGTATAGGTACTTAATAGAAGCCGACTCTAGCTAAGTAGTATAAGAAGTCCGAGATAACCCGGACGCTCTTCTAGACTAGTAGAGCCTTTAAGAACTTATAAAAAATATACGGTCGTGGACTTAAGATAAGTA